TTGCTGTATGGCGATTGGGTTTGAACGTTACCGGATCCTGGAATGTGGGAAGTCGTGGCTGGTTGTCTACAAATATTCAAGGAAAACGGTTTCCTGAATATGTGAACAAGGCGCTCCAGTGAAGATCCAACGCAACCAACCACTACAGAGCATACGAAGCACCGGCCAAGCGCTCCCTAGTGGGCGTGGTTGTCTGAGGCCTATGTAGGAGCGCTCCGCCCACATCGTGAGCAGTATCTCTCTTCAGTGGTGGCAAGCCCATTATGAAACCCACATAACGAACTGGTGCAGCTGTTCTCTTGAGAATCAATGAGCGTTGAGAAGAGTACTCGAACTGATCGGCAGTGAAATGATCGTAACAGATGAACCTAGGACAGCGGAACATTTTTATTGGTTTTTCATTCGATTATATTTGTACAAGCTTTATAGTCAGTGCCATTTGTTGCTTTTTAACACAGTACGCTGGCCAAATTTGCCTGTTTACTCAGAGTACGATTTATAAATTGCACATTACGGCATGGGAATACACTGAGAGAACTTCGAATAACCAAATCTCGAAGGTGATCTCCTGTATATTGGACTAATGGATGAAAGGCCGAGTATCTCATGGCTTTGGAATACTTCACAGCTGACAATGAGGAGATATCGCCTATGATCTTCTTATTCCAAGCTCTACAGATACGGTAGTTGTTTCGATCTACTACTATCAATTGCGGAGACATTCCTCTGCCGTAAACCGCTGTCGACTGCCATCGATATTACATATTTCAATTTTTGTTTGTTGTTATTGTTTACGGTTTTCAAATTTATGTTATACTGTGTGCTTTAATGTCATGTTGTTATCCTTACCTCGCAGTTTCACCAAATAGAGCACTTTAGAAAAATCGCTTTTTTTTACTTCACCCTTATGACTGTTTCTGTTCCTAGGAGCTCGAGCTATATTTAAACTTGAAGAGACGGTATTCCGCTCACTTTCTGCCATAACTTTGAAGTCTCTGCTTCTGGTTTTCCATCAGTACAGCGTCGTTATCGCACAAAAGTCGAATCCACTCTTCTCTGAATTAGTTTGTTTAGCCACATGACCCAATCATCTTCAATTTTTGTTTTCAAATTATTTACTAAACCCATTATCGTGAATCATTTCTTATAAAGTGGCTCAAAATGTTATCATAATTTTGCTAGAGTATAAAAATGGGAGTAAATCTCTCTTAGAATGCGCCATGCATATTAGGGTTATTTTAGAACAGAGCCTCATGATGACGTTCTTGGCGGTGTACTTTTGCTGGTGTAGTACTTATGAAGAGACTCTTGAGAGATAGAAGGCCCGATTCTATCTCTCCAGAGGAGGAACTCTATCCCAGACCTGGTTTTTGAATCGTGAGATAGCAGGATTACTTGTTATTGTCCAAACTCCCATTAAATCTGGTAAACTCTGGAATTCCCTTATAGGTTGGCAGTTTGAGCTTTTGATCGAATCTCGTTCACTCCTTTAAGTACTCCTCCATCCATCCTCATCCTTCCGTTGTCGCTCACTTAGGACAGCATCAGTTCAGGGAATAAAACATGCGAACTTGTACAACATCTGGTCAAAGTAAATAATTGTATAAGTCAATTCAGAGTAAGGTCAAATGTGTGGCACATTCCAAAACACAAATGTTACTTTCGTAACTTTTTTTCCCCTTTCATTTTCTATCTTTTGCATGACACCACGATAAGGAGGATTACGAACCCGTCCTTTTCTTCCCATCGTAACCGATAAGCATACTTCTATGATATGATTGCGATCAACGTTAATCAGGTTGAAAGGATGGCTGATGGTGGAGAGTAGTATCGGTATCTATGTTTCTAGTGAACGAAAAATCTCCAGAAACTTTGAATCACAGCACCTTTTTGCGGCATTTTCTGTGAACGTTTGCATATAATGCTGATGCTTCTTCATCCCACATACTGCGCACAATCGTAAACGAACTCGACGAGATAGCTAAAAATACACTTTGTGCTCCTACAACCTTCAGAAACGGTCTCAGAGCGTGCTCGTTCCATTGGTCAGGAACCATACTTGCATAGAAATCCATTATTCATAGGTTAATCTACAAAATAGTGCGGTGTATCGCCAAGACGGGTAAGATACTGTTGCTTTCCCCCGTATCGAAGTAGTTGTGGAGGTTGAGTGAAATAGAGATTGAAGGAGATCAATGATGGTGCCTATACGCCATTTCCTTATACTGTAACCGAGACGATCTGATAAATCAAGTTTTGAGGTCTGCGTGACTTTGTAGGTCCAGTAACCCGAGCTGTTTCGTGGGTGTAGGATGTTTGTTGAGGTGTGGTTATGGAGCAATATAGCCTTTGCTGTTGCCGTATTGTCCTTTCTGAAACTTTTTTTCTTGTGTAATATGTATAAAGGATAGGATTTTTGGAGTCTTCACTGTAATGGATTACTGTATCAAAAAAATCACATACATAGTGAAAGCTATATTGAGCAGGCTTGAAGGGGAATTTCTCTTCAAGTTCTCTATAAATATCTAAAATCTGCATGTTCTCATCTGCACAACTTTTCCGCTGTATACCTCTTAGATACTTTTACACCGAAAAGCGGCCTTTTATGTCAGCTCTTAAGAGTTCCATCTTTTGAACCAAAGATAATGGTAACAGCTATTTTATGAAAACGTGATCGTCCACTGAAAGATCTTCAAGTAAGAGACAAGTCTGGCCCACCTCGGTCGAATCTTTCTGCTGCTCGCCGTTTCTCGTAGACGATTCCATGCGAATGGGATCGAGTCCTCTTTTGCGCGGGGCTTATCCCCGACGTGGCATGCACACGGGTATCTGCGGATCCGCTTTACGAAATGATATGATTTATGTCATCTGAGCTTCAAGATGGGAAGGGACCGGCTGTTGTGCTCATCAGTGATTGAAGTGAATGGCACACGAGGGCATAACTACAAGCTCTCCACAGCAGAATACGACAGAGATGGACAGGATATTAAGAATCTGTCATGGCTATCGTGTTATCTCAGCTGAAATAGTGCTTCCTACCGCTCAGAAAGAGGTCTAGCCATAGAGGTAGGCCTTCTGCATGTACAATCAGTACTCATCGCTTCTTCTCAGTCAGTCCGTGCAGGTACAATCCGCTATGCACCGATTGTGCTTGCAGATGGTCTATCCTAACGGCTAGATCCTGGCAAACTGATAGAAGAGGAGGATAGGGTCGTTGTACTATTTTTACCTGTTTTCCCAGTTGATCACTGTTTTTCTCGAGTAAGCGTAAAGAAGCTCTCGTCTTCATCTCCGTGAGGCAATGTAGCGCAGTAAAACGTCTCTATCCTATGGATTCGAATATGCGGAATTCCTTTCGTTCACAGCTTTCATTAGACCTCTGATGTTCGTTTGAAACCTCGATTGAAGTAGCCATAATCTCTCTGTTTTATTACTGTCACAAAAAGGACGTGTCGAACAGATTTTTTCCATTTAGACAACGTTCTTTATCCTCTTTCAAGTCTGGATTCCCCTCTGCACCTGCTTAAATCGCGAACTCTGAACAGAATCTACAGTGCAGTGCATTGAATGAACTGACAGTGTGTTCCTCCTGCGAAGTCCAAATTTTGTGAGGTCTTCTGAGGTCAAAGCACAAGGACCGGAAGATTAAAACGTGATCTGAGCGAAGCTGGTAGATCCTAGTTTTCTTAAGTACTCTCTCAATCTTCTTAACGGTCATCATCGCTACCTCATTTTCGTTTTGGAGCTAGGTTTATTGCAATGCTAATTTCCCGACACAGATAAAGTTAGCTCACATTCACGCAGAACATTCACGTATATTCTCTCCATGGAGCGTTAACAGAAATCGGCGTATTTTTCATAAACTTCGTTGTATGATAAGTAGACTATATTGGGTAAATGTGAAAATAAGTGCTTAGGAGTGTGATTGACCCATTAAAAGAACCCATCGAAACCCGCTCATTGAAGCTGTTGCTTTTGGGTAGCTTCTTTCGATCTGATAGAGAAAGGAGCCGACCAGTGAGTGCCAGAACAAGTTCTCATTTGTTAGTTTAACTTATTTTTCCCTGGCAAGTTTATCCTTGCTGCTGTTTTTCGGTGTTAACATGTCCTATCGCGTTTGACCACGCGCTTCCATGACTCCGCCGGAACATTTATGTGGAGGCGGGACTGCACGGTGCTGACAACTCTTTTATCATAATATGTTCCTCTTTCCATGGCGGAGGTGGTGTAGTGGCAAGTGGCGCACTATATCCCACGCACGGTCAGGCGGTCGAATCCCGGTTCGATGCCTGCCTGGGCCAATCAGGCCTACCGTCCCTCCGGGGTCGGTTAAATGGTACCAGACTCGTCTCCGAGGATAAAAGCACTGACTTGTACATCGGCTGGCCACCGCAAGTCATTGTATAGGCCACATACGCACTCATTACGCCGAGTCTGAATGGAAGTCGAGTGCGGGGGCATATCCCTCAGACGGGATTGATTAACGCCAAAAACTTTATCCTTTTACTTTATGTTCCTCTATTGCGCGCTCATTGTCTTTGGAAAAAATGAAAACTTGGTTCAAACTATATCTTTAGTTACGATAGTTAAAGTCGTATGGAATTTCGTTTCAAATAGGTCTTTGATGGTGATTTGTATTACTTGTAGGTTGCTCAATTCATTTGAATTTTTTTCAAGTAGCCTTGAAAGGATGAGCAGAAGTCATCGCTTTTGTAACCACTCTCACTCTTTCGTTTGCATTGAAAGAGAGTAGTTACAAAAGCCATGACTTCTGCCCATCGTATCAAGACTACTTGGGAAAACAGAGAGACAGTCAGAAAATGCACCGATGCATTTTCTGCTGTTACCAATCGGCAAAAGCTCCTAGAACAATTGAACAGTCTCCTCGATCGAATTCGTCATCTTCAGGCACTTACGTGGTTTTTGAGCCATGCCCACCATGAAGCTGGGGTTATCCACTCACTCATAATGGTGACACCAGTAATAATTTCTGGAGCTGTTGTTTGGGATTCGAAAAATCCTCGAAGGATAAAGTAAGAATCGCCAGGAGTTGACCAATCACTTTCATGGGGAAAAGTCATAACCCAAAATTCATGTCGAGGATCATAGGCTTACGCCCTCTTGGTACCTGTATTAGCTCCGTGATCATATGAAAAAGATCAACTGTTTTGCAATGATTTCGGACAAGCGGATCTATTCCTTTGGAGGTTACTACACTTCCATTTCTTTGGTTATTCCGAAGTATCCATCAAGAAAGGTCTCTAAGATATCGACACCATTCTTAAAGACGACTGTATGTACTGCTTCTTATAGCTTGTACTCTGTCTAGTAACCACCAACAAACTCCGAGACATTCATTTCACTGATTCAGCATAAATCCATAAGCTCTACCAAATCAACTTCATAACAGCCGCACAATATCAGAACTTCATCAAACAAATCAGAAACCGCGTAGATCGTAGAATGGACCGGAACCGGAAATGACAATACCAAGAAAATACACATGGGTGAAAAGGCCTCATTATGAGGGTCAAGATCATTGCTCAAAAATTGAAAAAAAANAAAAAAAACAGCGAGGTTATAATAGTAAACACACACGCACGCACAAAACACATTCACATAGGTGAAAAACAGATAAAACATGGAACCAAACAAAAATGTAGGCCTTTAAATTAAAAACGTCAACAAGCTTCCAAATAACGTCCACCGTCTCACACAACACATATCTCACCGAAAGATCCGTATAAATACAAACTTGGTTCAAAAATCATTTGTGTCGTTTCGCCGGTGGAGCCCCTTTCGAACTGTGCCGATCACGATGTCTCTTACGATCTCTCTCCCTGTCATTGTGCCGTCTATCGCCACCTCCTCTCTCATCTTCGATATCTCGCTTTTTGTCTGCACGAGCCGCTTCCTCTTCAAGATCTGACCAGTCTTTTCCTTCAGATTCATCGGAATCCAGCGAGCCTTCTTCGTCACTATCCTCCGATGTTGCTTCACCTAAAAATGAATTTCAAAAAATGTGCTAAACTATGAAGGTGTTTACGTACCTTCGCTCTCATCTTCATCACTCTCGTCTTCACCTGATTCCGACTCACTCGGCGTGTACGCGTCCTCTGATTCGCTTTCATCCTGTAAGAAAATTTAGGTCGATTTTAACCGCGAGATGCTTATCATAGCCGTTCTGAACCCTGATTCGGAAGGGAAAATCTTAGTCTAAGTCTAATCTTTCCAGAGAAAGTCTGTGGACATTAATCAAGTGGCATACAAACCTTCACAGTGAACCTTTTTCTTCACTTTTTAACGCCGGCTGTTGAGAAAGAAACCAATGTCTATCCTATGTATCTCTAAGACTATCAGTACCTATGTTGAGCTCAACTCACTTCCGGTTCAGCATCCTGATCCGAATCGTTGGCGAGGAAATTCCAACCACCGGTTTCGAAGAACTCTTCCGGATCATCGGTGATTGTCTAGATCAAGCCCTCGTCAATTTTACAGCAAACAATATATTGAATAGTCATACCTTCATGATTTTTGGCCAGTTTAGAGACTGTATTCCTTCTGTATAACGCAAATCGCTCGTGTTCAACCATTCCTTAAAGAACTCTGTTTATCAAGGAAGATGAAAGGGAAAAGGATTGAATTTCCTTTCTTACCTTTACATTGTCAAGGCTGCTCATAGGAATTTGTTGTACCATCTGGGTTTTACGGCTGTAATCTTTGAATATGAACACCATATCGAAGTTTTTCAGTTGGAAGGAAACACGTTCGAAGTGCACCAATTCCACTTCATCCAGCGTTACAATAAATGGTGGCTAAAAGGTCGAATTCGTGAAAAGCTCAGTCAAAGTTGTATTCGCACGGGGAGACTAAAATTGTTATTCAGGGAACTTACCCATTCCGTGAGGTTAACCAGGCACGATGAGGTAGGTTTCAGTGTGCAACTGGACCGGTGGGGAACACCAAGGAATCCAAGTTCACTGAAGGGAGCGTCGAAGTCGAACTGGTCATTAGTTTGTTTTACAACCTGAAAGAAGTCTCTTTGGCATCAGAGTAGGCCTGATAGGTGGCAGTAAGAAGAAATGGCATAAATCGGCCGTAATGCGCTGCTGGGGTAGCACTCGTTGACTGGACATCGCTATTTTAGTCTTTGTTCTATGCTCTCTCTATCAAAGGAACAACTACCTGATGAGATCAAGTCAACTTACTTTATCACAGAAGTTTTGGAACGTCTGGTTCAGCTTTCGTCGCATTTCACGCTCCATCTATAATAACAAATCACAATCGAAACAGGCTTCGAGGATCGATATTTTTCGAATGTACCTGTTCACTTTGGACGTCGTCGCGATCCTGCATGTGATGATATTTCCCAAGATCTGTAGTAATCTCACCAACTTCAGTATAGAATTGGATATCTCTGCAATATTTGATTTCAAAAACGAAGGGCTGGTAGGAAAATACAAGTAACGGATTCACTTGTATTTTTTCTTTCCCCAAAGTACCGGATGCTTCAGATGGAAGTGCAACAGAATGATCATTTCATTGTCACAGGGTTGGAAGAACGCATGCTTGATGTTATTGTAGAGCACATCGATTCGATCTCCTCGTAGAGAGGTGTATCTGAGGCAAGAAGCTCGATCAAGAGAAACGAATTTATGAGATGAGAACTATCAAGGTTGTAAAAAAAGAAAAACGTCAAAACGTTGATAGGTCGTTGATAGGTCCACGAACCGGAATCCATTGATATGCGCCTCTAAAGATCCCGATATACGCTTAGCGATGATGTTCGGTCTCACGAACCTAAATAAAGCGCCAGATGGATTTTTCGAAAAAGAACTTGTATTCGTAAAGTAAGTAACAATGTGTATAGAGCTTACAGATCCTTCAGTTTAGGATTCGCCTTCGAAGTACTTAGAATCAGTTTGTCCTGCTTCACAGCACCTTCTTTCTCACGCTCTTCGGCCTCTTCAGTTCTAGAATGCCAGAATCATGAGAAGGGGTGCGAAAGAATTTTTGAATTGAAAACTATCACTCCAATCAAAAAGGCTCACCTGAATCGCTTCTGGATCTCCTTGATCAAACGGAAAGCTGTAGTCAAATTGTTACTAGGAGCAGCGACCTCTCCGTGTTCTTTTACATTGCTGGCTCTGAAAAAAAAACTACTCTAGTACCTGTACAAGAAGAAATATTCACATCTACTGACCTGTATGTGAGCTCCTTAAGGTATGTGGCAAGCGGGTTGGGGAACTGCGCCAATTCTTTGCCAATCTGTGATCCAGGATGAGCAAAGTTGATACGCAGATATGTGAAATCACCTTCTACGGATTGAGAGCAGTTCTAGAATAGTTGGTGTTGAATTTAGAGCAGTAATACTTCCACATACTTCAATTGAGATGATTTTCGAACGGCAACTCGTACCTTTATCATGGAAATATGAAAAGGAACAGGGATACCAAAGATGGGCAGAATTATAGTATCGTGGCGTTTATCTGAAACTTTTGAATGCAGAAAGGACAACAGAAAGTACTTCTTTCCACACAAATAATAAAAAAAAATAAAAAATCAACATAAGAAACCTACCGACGAATATATTGAGCTTATTGACTTCTGTGTCAGTAGGAAACTTTTCGTATGACTTGTACGATACATTCGATTTCTTGACTCTAAACAAATCAGAAGATTAGATTTTTCAAAACCTATTGGAACTAGCGTCAAGACAACCACAAACTTCTTTGCTTCACTTGATCCACTGGCTTGAGCAAGACGTTGACGAGCAGCGTCGTTCAGTTGTTGGGCTAACATTTTCTGATGCTCCTTCCTCTTATCTTCATTCGTAGCCTTGTTTCGTGTCTGATCCGACAGCACTACACTTCGCTTCCCACGACCAAGCACTTCAGTGTTTTCCTTATTTGAATCTTTTGCTGGAATCAAGACAAATGGCAGTTTCCTATAAGTGTTCAGTGTTCTGCCAGTCAGGCTTTTCATGATTCTGTAGCGTTTTAGCGAATGCTTGGTACTGAAAAGCATTGCGAATCTTCGGAAGTATTTTCGAGTGATACCCAGGTTTCAAAAAAGGCAAAGTTGGAATTATAACTGTTACCAATAAACAAACGAACAATCGATTTTGTCCATACCATCCTCTTCTTCCTCTTTGAATCTAATAACGCTGTTTTTTAAGCGACTTTTGGCTCTCTCAGTGAGGATCTCGTTCTGCTCGTCTTTCACGAGAACCTAGAAAAAATTTAAAAGTCTATGACATACTGTACGAGCTTTTGATATTCAATAATCAGAACGAATGTATTCCCCCACTTCAAGTGGCACAATTAGCATAGGTAGCCCACGATGCTATCGTTTCAATCAAACCTCGACAATTTTGTGCGTTGCGATTATAGTAGTTTGGCGGCAGCCCCAAATATTAACATATAACACTCATTCTTTTGAACAATGCAAATTGAATAAGCAATGCTCACAGTATCGGAGAGTGCGATTGTGACGTTCTTTCCTGCATCGTCTTTTGCTTTTGTGTTGGTAAGATTCTCAACACCAGCAGACACAATAAAAACCATGCCGGCGCGGACCTATACGGAATAATTAAGTGTTCCCAATGTGGAAAAAATCCGTATGGCATATGAAAAACAACGAACCTCCTCTTCACATTTTGGACTAATCGTTAAACCACCCTCACGAAATTCTATGCCAGTAACAAACCTACAAAGCGAAGTTGAAGCTCTATGAAACAGTAGAAATGCTTCATTGCGGTACCTCAACTCACCCAAAATCCTTCTTGTAGAGATTATCAGCCAAAGTGGGGCACTTTTCGCGGAATGTTTTCACACCTACTGCGTAAACGTCATTCAATTTGGCGCCAGGCTTCAGCGCTTCTATCACTGCCAACTGAGTAGCAAGAAGGCCTTCATACGCCTCTTCTAGATTTTTAGAGGGCTCCACCATCAAAGTGCGAGTCAGATTTGTACAGTAGTTCTGTAAAGAAAATTCAGCCTTTTTGCAACAAATTAGTTAGGAAAGGGAAATAATGGCGAATGTAAAAAAAAGTCGATACAGCTTAAAAAGCAGGATATTGCAGGAAAGAGAAAATACCATACTTCAAGTCGAGCTCCAAGCGCCGTAACTATGACACCAAAGTGAAGAAGTTTGTCGGAACTAGAAATCATATTAATGGCTCTAAAATCTAGCAGAAATGAACCTCAAGGATCAAATCTAACCTTTCTGTGCTCCATTTCATTGAATAGTTGCCACCACTCATAATAATGGGATTGTAGCAAGTCTCTATAGTCTTAGTTTTAGCTAGTTGTCCTTGCACTTTCATTGAACCAATTTCGGCGTCAATTTCATTGGCGAGACGTGAATGCTTTACTTTCTGAAGCAAAGTTGCTATATTGACAAGCCAATCAATCGCGGAGTTATGATATCTACTCATCAATCATTGAAAAAAGAACCTTTTCTTGATCAATCGCTTCAATAAACTTCTTCCGCGCGTAGCTCCATGCATTAACCGTAGCTGCTGCTGAGCTACGACATGTTTCAAGTTCGGCTTCATCTTTGACAGCAAAAATATGGACAAACGCTCCGGACACGTCCACCTAAACGCCCTATTCTCTGGCGAAATTGCTTATTCACTGAAAAGTAAAAGAATAATTCCAAACCTTTTCTACATCAGCAAACGCTTTCTGCCAATCATTACTAAAGTCCGAATCGAACGTATCCTTCGCAAAGTGGCCGACCTTGTTTCCGGCGTCATCTTTTATGTAACCCAAGAGCTTAGCAAAATTAGCCGCATCTTTGTCAGACTGAAAAAGTATCATTATTCGAAGTCGAAAACATATTCAATCTTGCAAAATACCTTGTCTCTGTGAATAGGTGTAATTGGTGGCACTACACCAACGAATTCATCTGACTTAACGCTATTGAAATAGTCTGCCTTTCGGTTACTTGCCAAGACGTAGATTCCTAAATAAATATAAACAAACAGTCACCAAATGTTAAGCACAATATAGGCATTATACAAAAAAAATACTTCATTATATACAATACAAAGTGAAAATTTAAAAAGCAGCATGCACGCACCTTTCTTAGTGAACAACATTAACGTATCCAATAATTCTGTGTTGAGCATCCAAATCTAAAAATAGATAGGTTACCAAACCATCACCCATCGGCTAGATGACCCACTGTAGAAATCATGCCTCTGAATTTCAACATTCAAACAAGCTTACCTGGAATGCTTTCGATTTTGAATACTGTACTGCTCCTTCATCTTGCCCAACTAAAACAACTAAAGCATCCACTTCACCGAGACTGTTTTCACCTTTATTCTGAAATAGACATTACTTTTATATAAAATTGCAAAATTGGGGGCTAAAACTCCCAGAAACGCAATATAAAAGAAGAAAAAGTGTCTTTAAACTGTGCTCACCCAAGTCTCATAAAGAACAGTCGCATGCCGAAGAAACAGCTCCTTGTCGGCTGTGAGCACTTTCTTCTCCGGCATCACCTATTGAAGCATCACATACAATTCATAAGAATTCGAAAACACAATGTGCGATAATTAGGGGAACAACCCGAATCAACCACAGCCCACTTTGAACTCTACTTTTTATATGCATTATTCAACGTTCCAGCGCTGAAATTTTACAACTGTGATGGCAACAATATACTATGATTGAGCCATAAATAGCTATACAATGCATTGAATCAAATTAGTAGACAGACTAGAAAAGGATGAGTTTACCAAGTAAATATTATAAACTACTGGTCATATGTACAAAGGGATGAGAATATGAGAAATAATTGTTTGAGATTAAACTCGTCATAGTGAAGCGT